CTCACGGGAAGAGGGGGAGGGCTGGGGGGCATCGGGTGGGTGGCTCGATCCGTGCCAGGTGCAGGGTCTGCTGGCTGGATGCTGGCAAGCTTGCACCTGGCACGGGCACCGTAGCCAGCCCGTGCTCCTTTAAGGGATCCGGGGCCGGGAGGGGGGCAGACGAGTTTCCCTGGTGTTGGCCAGAGTGGCCACCAGGGGAAGCTGGGGAGGGCTAGCCTCCCACTAGTTCGAATTAAGGGGCTACACACCCCTTAATTCGAACTAGCTAGTTCGAACTAGGCTTAATCCTCGTAAAATGAGGTTTTCCTAGTTCGAACTAAGCGCTCCGCTAGTTCGAATTAAGTTCGAACGAGCGGAGTGCTAGTGTAGCGCCTATGAAAGTTAGTTCGAACTAACGTCTGTTAGTTCAAACTAACTCTGTAATGTAGACATACCCATAGAGGCTTCCTGACTCAGAGCAGGGCTGTGGAAAGGCAGGCAGAGCTGGGGAAGCTCTGGCCAGGTAAACTCCCAGGCTGCAGGTCCCAAGACAAGGCCTGAAGCTTCTAGGACTGCAGGGAGGCAGCTAGGGCAGGAGAAGGCAGCAGCTCCACACCCCTTGTCTATGATGAGTGGCCATTTCAGACTGCAGTTTGCCCCTGAGGTAGAGGGTTAGATGAAGACTGGCAGCAGGGTCACTGAGGCAAGGTGGATATAAGGGGTTGGGGTCTCCCTGAGGGGGAGGACTCCAGAGTGTGGGGGCACTGCAGCAGAGCAGTATCCAAAGAGGAGGGCACCACAGTCTGGGAGGGACGTGGGTCCTAACATAAAGTGGTGGAGGATAAAAGGTAACAGCAAGTGAGACACTGGCCAGAAGGGTGTGCTCCAGGGTTGAGGAGCTAATTCCCAGAGTGAACAGCAGGAGGCGCTGTGGCAATGAGTCCCACCCTGTGACACCTCACCAAAAGTGATCAATGGCAGAAGTTGTCTGAGACTGTGGGAAAGAACACGTGGTCTAGCCACCTTTGAGAAGGGCATGTGGGTGGCTAAGCTGGCAAATCAAAAGAGGCTAGTGGAAGGGATCTTGTGGAAAGGAAAAGGAAGGATGTCTTGAGGGGCATGAGATTCTTAGCAGGGAGGTATCTTCCCCTCACTGTAACAAAGCTGAGGGGAGTCTAACTCGCTGATCCCTGAGACACTAGGTGCTTCTGTAATACAAATAGTAGGTTGTCTCTGGCCTTCGTGCAGGGGCAGGAACTTCCATTTTGTCTCTCTGCTTTGGTGGAGTGTGCCAAGGAAAGCAGCCTGTGCACAGAGATGCTTGGCAAGTGGCAGCAGTGAGCGTGTGGGAGGTGGTATAGGTCCATGTGTCTGTCATGTGTTTTCCACCTGCCGTGGTGAAAGTATTGGTCAAAGAGTACATTCCAGCCCTCTCTTAGTGGATCTGTGATGATGTGTTTAGCTGTGAAGAACAGCCAGCAGCTTGAGACACAAGAAAGACCATGTAACACTACATGATTGACTGTTGCATTGGCAGACACAAGTGCAATATGTTTTGAACCCAGCAGAGGAGTAGACAAGGTGCTATGTGTAACCTGGCTGTGTCTGATAGATCTGTCCTACAGGATGCCTGCTGGAATGACAAGTGCAGGTCTGTCATGCTCATGGAGCCTTATGAGAGGTGGACAAGGATCATGCTGACTATCACGTGGATCATAGTGACGCTTGTTATTGCTCTGTTTGTCCCTGACATCAGCGAGGTCATCGGTATTATTGGTGGCATCAGCGCGTTCTTCATCTTCATCTTTCCAGGCACGTACTGGTTAATAGACGTCTGTGTATTCAGATTCAGGAACTGAGCTGGGGGACAGTTTGCTGTGTTAGTTATTGTTAATTAGCATGGCTGCTAAACTTACTGCTTATGTTTTGAGGCTCTAGGATGAAAACCCTTTTTGTGAATTAATTTCTTCTGATACTGAGGTAGGGCTTCTGCTCAGATTTTTCTCTGATCAAGTGCACTGGGGGGTCTATGCGGAAGTTCTCTTTGAGAACTCCACCATTTGCCTTTTAAACAAACAAAGCCCAACCTCATCTCCCCTTCGACATTTCATCTGGGCTCTTTTTAATCTGGGTGTTCTTAGCTGGAAGATGATGGATTTTTAAGTTTGCCTTTCTGCTTGGACCTAGTCCTTAAGCAAAGAGCAAGACTGAAAGGTTCTGGAATCCATACACTCTTTAACGTAGCCTTTAGATAAGAATCTTGTGATGTTCCTGCAATACGACAGTTTTGGATACTGATAAATACTTACGAATTTTGTTTGGTAATGTATCAGTGCATCCATTAGTCACTGGCCTTCCTTGCGTCTTGTGTACAGGCAGTCCCCGACTTACGCGGATCCGACTTACATCGGATCCGCACTTACGAACGGGGCTTTCTTGCCCCGGAGCTCGCAGGCAGCGGTCAGCCACCTCGAGCTCCGGGGCGAGAAAAGCTGCTCCCGGTGCCCCTGGTCTGCTGGGGACCGTCTCCAGCAGACCAGGGGCACCGGGAGCAAA